TATTTTTTCTGTTAAAAATGTTTATTTTTGTGTTGATAAGCCTGAATGGTCTGTTGACTGACCTTTGTATTTGTTCAAATAATTGTTATGGGCAGATTACAATATAAAAATATTTGTCATAATCACGTCTTGTGATTATTTGACAGGAGTTTTACTTTTAAACTGTAAGTGTATTTAATTTAGTTATGGTAGTTATGATGTAAATACAATAAAAATTAAACCAAGATTCAGAATAATTATCATTTTGATCCATACATTGGTAATGTCTGACATACATATATGAAATTGGGTCCTGAGGTCAAAAAGGTTAAGAACCCCTGGACTAATGACAATTACACTTTATCTTCAATTCAAATCCAAACCTGAACAGGTAGTAATAACCTTGATTATGTGCAACCCATTTCATTCATTTCTAACAGCCATTTCTGTCAGGTGTAGGTCAAGTCTAATGTTGGACAAATGATAGCAGCTGAGCTGCTGGCTGAATACCACTGATGATGTTTTATTACTTAACAAAGATCTGCATCGTTTGTTTAAATGAGTAACAATTTCAGTGAAAAGTTGGATTTTTTCTAAATGAAATCAAACAAGATACAGGTAAAAAATTATTTTAGGAGAAATAGTTGTTTTTAAGGTACTGTTTTATATATAAAAAAGGTTCAATGCATGTTCAAACCCTTTAAACAGACTAGGCTAGGCAAGTCTGTCTTACTTTTGTTTACCAGGAAAAGTTTTAAAATAAAAATGTAGATGTAAATGTCTGGTGCATTCCTCCATGTTTCTGTCCTTGGGACGGTAAGGACAAATAATGAAAGGACAAAAATACGTCCTTCTCCCTGATCAACACATCAGACATCAACACCCATCCTTCTGGACTGCAGTGGGTGGTTCCTGTCGAGACTATGCAGTAGTCAGGATAACTCGACAGAAGGCAGACAATTTCCTCTCCTGCTTCTTATTGCTTCTGTAACATGTTTTAAATAAAATATCAGTAAAATTCTCAAATCATCATCAGTTTTCTGTATCATATGTCTTAAATGCAAACATTACTGCACTCTTTTCAATTGTCTGTTAAAAAACAGATTTGTTCTTACACTCATCTGAGGATGGGGCTGTGCCAGTCGGCTTTCTTCAGGACCTTTGGGTTCCTGCACAGCACTCTGACCACTGCTGGAGTCTGTCTGCTGTTGAAGGACAGCCACCAGCTCACTGCTCACCTTCACACTTGATTCTGATCAGCAAACACAAAATATATTAATTCCCATATTTCCAAACATAACAATTACTAAGTACATTACTCAGTACCATGTATATTATAAAAAAAACCTCAAGGATGTAGAAGAAATGTCATAATTCATATATTCATCAATTGGTTTGACATCTGACACAAGAGCATAGTTAGAGGCAACTCAACAGCTTCTATTATGCTTCCTCTGTGATAACTGTGTGCTAATATAAACCTGCAGTCTCTCCTTTATCTTTGTCTTGGTTCCTTGTAGTTTTTAAGGATTGGGTTTTGGACGCGGCAACAGCTTTATTGGTCATTGCTGATCTGTAGTTCATCACTGCCCTCTCATGGACAGTCTTGCTTCTCACAGGAGCAACAGTCGGCCTTCTGTCTGAAGATGCAGCGGGATGAAAAACAGAGGAGCCGCAGGAAGCCTGGGGGAAAGTTGTGTATACGTCATCTTATATGTTATTATTAAGACTGAAATTTTAATTTACCCTCCAATTAATAATGACAGTGCCTTAAAAAACTCGTTATACCACTGTTTGACACTAGGTTATGACCTGAGGCCATTTGTTTGTGTAAGGCTGTGTTGTTGCACGGTGATGTGAGTTGTGAATTGGAGAAAGAGATTTGACTATTAGGTTATTAGGTTCCTCTCTTTTGGAAATAACTTTTAGTTTCTGGCAAAATGTAAAAAGGTTCAAGGGGCATGAAGACTTTTTCGAGGAACTGTAATTTAACAAAGCCCGCCTCACCAGTTGTTTCTTAGCCTTGCCCCTTGGAGACGTTTGAGATGAATTTTTATTCTCATCCTTCATCAGTCGGTCCACTTCCTCCTTGACGGTCCAAGTCAGCTCAAGGCTTGGGGACCCATAGCTCCTCAGTCCTGAGGAGGTTCCCGTTAGTCCTGCAGCAGGGACAGATTTTCCTGGATGCTTCAGCGCCGACTCGGTCAGAACCGGGAAAGTTCTTTCCACAGACTGGGTTTTTTTCTCAATGTCGAGTTCCATAGATCTGCAATCAGGTATTTAATTTTTGAAAAAACAGATTATTAAATATAACAACCACTGATCCTTGCCAACAAGTTGCTCATAAGTTAGATTTAACCTACAGGTGTAAGACAGGTAAATTATGAATAAGTTTACACTCTTTACTTGTACGTTACCTATAAGTTGATATTTGTCAGAAACCAGATTGAAAATTGTGTAGCGTACACATCAGCGTAAGTTTTCTAAAACGTGACACAGTCCTCCTAACCAACTATGCCTTTTTTAAACAAGCAAATTAATTAAGGGTGAATATTCCACATGGCTTTGGTACAGTTAAAAGGCTGCTTGACTATGGGAAGGTGAGAATTATTTGGTGCTCCATACGACTGGAAGAGAAAAAAAGGACCGCCATTAAAAAGGCGTTTAAACCATAGGAGCTGTATAATAAAACCTTTCAGTGGTTTTGACTTTGTGATTTTTAACACCTTAAAACTGGCATTGATCCATGTCTATATAAAAATATGGATTAGTGATTCCATATCAGAAGTCCTGACCTGACAGGCTGGAGGGTAAAGCCTCTAATTTGGTCATGTTCCAGGAGGACTGGCCTCATTAGCTCCTCTGCAGTTGGCAGGTCTGAAACATAAAAACACTAATCCTGCAATCCATGTGTGCTCATATGTGCAATGGTAAAAATACAGAGAATTAATTTCCCCACTGGGGATTAATCAAGTATAATAGTAGTAATCATCATCATCATCATCATTATACTTTTCACCGATAGACCACAGATTCAACTAAAAAAAATAAAAACATCTACCTGTTTTAAATGAATATGATTATTCTTTCACCAGAGCTGAAGATGCTCAAACACACTGACAGGTTCATTTAGGCCTCGTCTGACCTGACTCATCGGTGGAAGCCAATTGTAGAGACGGTTGTGTTTGTTGAGGAAGCAGCAGTGAAGAGCCGGGTCTGTCTTTCTTCTTTTCCTCCTCCACACATACATGTTGGGTCTCATCTGAATCCTCCACAGTATGAATCTGTCTGTAAGCTTCCTGAAGAGCCTCAATATCTGAAGCCCCACTCTGAGCATTTGTTTGACCTGCAAGGAGGAAAACTCAGCATCACTCACAGCTCTGATATCCCACTAAGATAAAAGTTTTTACACATTAATACAAGCTGAAGTCAAACAAGTGCTGAAAAACAAAATAAAATAGCAAAGGAACAGAAATAAGTTCACACTGTAAAACCTAATTTTCTAGCCAGTTAATATAAATTTAAAGACATTCAGAAATACTGAAGTGTGTTTTTGTACAAGAGACATAAATAAATATGATCTTATTTGTTGTTGCACTTTAAACATATAGCTAAAATGTAGTCCCAACCTGTCCTAAAGTTTATTTATATGTTAAACTTTATTTAGCCAGGCAAACCCCATTGAAACCACACTTTTCTATTGAAGGAAAAACGCTAAAAGAATATATATATATAGCACTACCTCATGTCCAGTTAAAACAAGTTTGCATTGTTTCAAGAGTATTGTTCAATGTTTTTCAATAAAATAAGATTGGAACATTGAAGGTGCATTGTGACCTTATCTGTATCGGCCAAAATCGAAATCATCTGGTCAGACTTTAAGGTCCGTGACTGACCAAAAAACTGCTATTGGTGCATTTCAAATACAGTGACGCTGCATGTAAGACTTGTAAAGTGCTGGTATTACCTTTGTTCAGTGACTTCAGCTGCCTGTCTTCATCCTCATCCAAAGAATCATACAGAGAAACTGAAACAAATGTCAGAGAAAAACGGTCCTGAAGTTTCAGCGTACCATCTACATTTTCTTTTGAAAATTAGAAAGATAATATATTGACTTTTAAATAATCTAATTATTAAAAACTAAGTTTTATACCATCAGAATGAAAAAGCAATGGCATGTGTAGATTCCAAAAATATAACGTAGTATCATCTGTTTCTCTTACCTCTTGCAAGAATTGTAGACATTTTAGGCTTCTGAAAAACAAAACAGATCATGAAGACATGCATCATATTAAAGAAAGATGTCTGATATTTTTTAAAGATAAAGCTGTATAGAAGAGTTAATTGAACCCTGCAACCAAATGTTAAATATGAAAGTTTGATTTATGACTGCTAATCAGTCCCATTAATTTTGGTCCCTTAAAAAGTGCTAGGCCCATTATATATATATA